CTTTTAAAACATAACACTGCACAGAGGGCTCACGCTCTCCCAGCCCTGACAATGGGGTGAAAGTTTACGACACACTTTCCCCCAGTGACACAGATATCTATGCGCCCACTCGGCCTTTGTTAGGCGCGTTCTATTTTTCGCAACAACACGACCAAATCCACCTCATAGACGGTATGTGTTTGGAGTGCTGTGTGTTTGTGCCGCTGAGATTTAACAGTTATTAATTGCATCAAACCACTTTTGAGGCAACTTTTTCTTCAGATAAAAACTAATTAGAGAAATTTGGGGGTGAAACGGCTTCGTCCCCACCATCCAGAAGAGCTTAAATTTAACTAAGAACAAAGAGATGGAAGACAAAGGTGACTCTTCTTGTTTGAATGGTTCTCAAAATGCCGTGGCTCGCCGTGAGTATAGAAAAATCATCACTGTTTTGTTCTTATTGCTTGCTTTTTGGTGGTAAAGAAGTGGAAGAAACTAAGCCCCACCCAAATCTTGGTCCACCCACCGCCACTGTGTCTGGTGCCTATTTTAGGCAACTGTTCCGTTTGTAACCTTTCTAAAAAGGAAACCAGTGTGATACAGTACGGTAGTTAAAATATTCGTCGCAAGTAGAACGCCCCGGACTCTTTATCCGTTGAATTCTGCGAGTTAGTTTCCTTCAGAGAGTTTTCAACGCTTTCTGACTCATGTAGAGCAGTCCTGTTGCGGACGAACGTTTCAATAAATGTATTATAAGTATGAACGGACAAGCAACATAATGTCAAATTGGGAAAGGCATTTTACACGAATTTCCCCACTTCACGCAAGTTGAAATGGATACCTGAGTACAGACAGCGTAAGATCTTTTCAGTTTGTTAGTGTTTGGGCGCTTAATTAGCTGCTTCAACTGTATGGTTGCCGGGAAGCCGAGAAAGTTTCTGAATGATCTGGGGTCTGCAGGCGAAATACTGTTGTGTAAAGTAAACAGAACATTTTCGTTATTATTAAGTACAATATGAAATAGTTCGATTTAGTCAAACAATACACACTGAAAACAAAAGTGAAAGATCACCGACAGTCCGATTGAACGACTAAGGTACTCCCCCACCCCCTTTTCAACTTCGAGAAGAACAAGCGAAACCCTGTCGAAACACGTAAAATAAGCAGCTAAAGACAACGAAAGCCAGTACTAACACCAGTGCCCTGTTTTGCCCCGAGTAGACCAAACAATCGAATGAACGCACCACTGTTTGCTGCGATAATACATGTACTGGCAGGGGAATACACAGCTCAGGGGCCTCTCGGAGGCTATGGTATAAGATTCCGAGTGCTGATAGCTGGAGGAGTGAGAAGTGTGGTGGCTGAGTTCGACGTCACTACTGGACGTAATGTAATCAGACGCATGTCAGTTTTTTTTGTTGGCATATGCAGTCATTGGTATAAACGTAAAGCTTATTCATCTGCCTTGCTAATGGTTAAAACTTTTTTCTTGAATAGAAGTTGAAATATTTTCCATAGAAGGAGATGTGGTCGCCTGGTAAAAAAGGAAAAAATAGTAAGAAAACGGCCGCCAAAGTTTGGTCACTTCCAAAGCTTCAGTGTCCCTGGAAAATGCAAATTTACATTATTTTGTGCCTTTGATTAGCCTTTCTTTTCCAGTAAAATTCTCACAGAAATTAAATATGTTTTGAAATGGGAATATTATTTTATTATAAGGTGTTGAACACCCCCACCCTAAAAGAATTGAAAAAAATTGCTCAACGGTTGGTAAAATGCCGATTTCTTCGATTTCATAATTTCGACGAGGACCTGATTTCAGGACGATGTAACACAGAGACTCTGTCGGCCATTTCGAAGGCAATATGTATGTATGTGTGTTTGTATGTATGTGTGTGTGTGTGTGTGTGTGTGTGTGTGTGTGTGTGTGTGTTTGTGTGTTTGTGTGTGTGTGTGTGTGTGTGTGTGTGTGTGTGCGTGTGTGTGTGATATATGTATGTGTTCGTGTGTACGTGTTTTAACACCACTATTTTTATCATCTCTCTTTTGAAGCTCTTTTTCGTGGACGTCAACGCCTCAGCAGGGGAGGTCGCTGAGAAAGAACTCAAAGACCTATATGGCGCTGATAAAGTGCGGTTCTGTCCCTTAGATGTCACAGACAAAGAGAAATATGAAGGTACTGAAACTCAAGTTCTTATACACATATACTGGATGTATGATATATAGGCCTACTGTACATGCAGATAGATAGATAGATAGATAGATAGATAGATAGATAGATAGATAGATAGATAGAAAGGTAGATAGATAGATAGAAAGGTAGATAGATAAATAGATATATAGAGAGATAGAGAGACATGTGTTTTATCTATGATTATGAATAAATAGTTTGTTGTTTTTCTATAGGATAATACAAAATACTATTTCGAAATTATTAATCCCTCAAACTTCATATTGTCTAACAGCAGCATCACGATCACCACCATTTTCTCCTTCAAGGATTATGATAGCAATAACAACAGTGCAAGCGCAATGCCCACAAACATAAGCACTTTTGCATTCCTGCAAAATGGTCTGTTGATGCGATAATTACGATGATGAGATCATCAAAACTCGCCCAAAAAAGTCAAGGAACAGCTTGTGTTTTCACCTGTCAAATTCAAACTTCAATATCTCACAAACCCGTTATGATCAGTCTACCAAACTTGGCACACGCACTGGCGACAAGACACAGTTTGCCTGTACGGAAAATTTGCCAGCACCAGCTTCATAGCGACGACGCAGGGCATTCTGAAACACAGCCGAAAAGCAGGAAAAATGGGCTAAATTTCTCTGACTCAGCAGCTTTGGCATAGGGACTGTTAGCTAAAACTAAGCTTGGCACGTGCTAAACAGATGTCTTAGCTGTGAAGATGGCTCACTTACAACCCTTTATAAACCAGCGTTTTTCTGCCATGTTTCATTACAACACGATGGTCCGACAACACTCGCTGCCTGACGTCAACAGAGGACGAACCCTTACCTGGCTCCAAGATGGCTCAACGTTCCCAGTTGTTGCACATCGATTTAGGGTGTCTCCATCAGTCATATAGAGGCTGCAAGAACGATGGCGAGCGACCGGAAGGGTCCCGGACAGGCCTCGACCAGGATCGCCCCGTTTGACCAACAACGATGGCGAGCGACCGGAATCGTCCAGGACAGGCCTCGACCAGGAACCCACCGACTGACAAACATCAGCAACTACGGGTGACAGCCCAAGGCACACGCCGCCCAACAAAGCAGCTCGCCAGGCGTGCCAGGTTAGCTTCTTGTGTCCCTGCCATGCGCCCAAGGCACACGCCGCCCAACAAAGCAGATTCAACCTGCTGGACCCAAACAGGCTAGCCCTCGTCTGGAGGCGCCGAGGAGAGCTGCTGCACCCTGTGAAACAGGCGAGCCCACGTCTGGAGGCGCCGAGGAGAGCTGTTCCACCCTGAGTGCATCCAGCAGGTGGTGCCCTACTTTGCAGGGTCCGTTCTGGTATAGGGAGGCTTCTCAGCTCACCACAGGACCCCGTGTACCATATACAGGGCAATTTGACCTCGGCTAGGTACAGGGATGAAATTCTGCGTCCCCTTGCTGTTCTTCTCCTGAAGCAGATTGGACCCCAGGCTGTACTGCAGGACGGCAACGCCACGCCATATCGCGCACGCGTCGTGGGGGACTTCCTGCAGCAGCGAGCTGTCACCTGCATGGACTGACCAGCTTGTAGTCTGGATTTGAACCCAACAGAGAACATTTGGGATCACATTGACCGGTGGATAAGGGACAACCACCTTCCTGCACAAAACCGCCAACAACTCTTGGGCTACCTCGTCCAGGAGTGCAGAACCTACCCCAACAAGTTCTCCGAAGGCATGTCCTGTCCATGCATCGACGCTGTGCTGAGTTTTTGATCAAACGAAGTGGCTACATCTACTATTGACAATGTTCATGAAGAACTTTGGCTGTTCAGACTTTTGAAATCCTACCAGTGTGACTTAAACTCATTTTACATAAACTTCTCGTTGTTGTTGAAATCTGAAATTGTTCACACCTAATCTAGAGAGTCGAAAGCATCTTGTGCGAAAAAATGAATAACTTCGGATAAACTGTTCTTCAGTAATCTTTCTTTGAATTTTTGTTGCTTGACTTTTTTGTGCGAGTTTAGATATAATAGCGCTTCAATCTGAAGAATTTCAGGATTGTGCACTGACTAGCAACAGTAAGCTTCATAGGAGTCAAGGACATTAATCGAAACCAGCCGGGAAAAAAAAATTGAACAAAACGTCCCTTGACCAATATTCCCCCTCCCAAAACAAACCCACGCATATTAACTAACTAACTAACTAACTAACTAACTAACTAACTAACTAACTAACTAACTAACTAACTAACTAACTAACTAACTGACTAACTGACTAACCAACTAGCTAACCTCACAAACAACTAAATGCATGGATAAATTTAAAAAATGAATAGATAAATAGATAGATAGATAGATAGATAGATAGATAGAAAGATAGATAGATAGATAGATAGATAGATAGATAGATAGATAGATAGATAGATAAATAGATAGATTCCGAGGAAAGAACACATTAAAATTACTACTACAAACATTCTGTTTCAGAGGTCTTCGAAACTGCCGTGTCTCATTTTGGCTGTGTGGATGTGATGGTCTGCAATGCCGGTATCCTGAACGAGAGCACTTGGGAGCTCATGATACAGGTCAACTTGGTACGTCACACGGAACTAGAAAAACAAGTGCAATTCAGCACAAACGGTAACATAAAATATCTTATGTAAACATCTTACTACGGGAAGCTGAGAATCGAGAGGAGTGGAAGAAATCAGGTGAAAAATCTGCAGTGGTGCCACAACTGTAACAGTTAGCCAGACTCGCGAGGGGTATGTGAAGGATAAAGTAGAATATTAAAATTTATTACAGTTGTACCTACCTAAGTAGGTCCATTTTTAAAGGGGTTTGGTAGCTCTTCACTCATTTGGCTCGATCTAGTCAGAGATAAGACTTTATGAACCAGAGCACCTGTCAAATGAATACCCGCTCATTGTGTACTTATTTCTTTTTATTTTCTAGGGTTGTCCGTGCACTGCAGACTGCAGGGTGTAGACCTCCAACAACAACATCCACTCTGTTTTATCAGCTGTTTTCATGTCCAGTTTGTACCCATCCGCTCTCTGACGCCATCTTGCCACCTTCTTTCTGGTCTTCTTCTTAATTCTTTTCTTGTCCTTTGTATCTATCTATCTATCTATCTATCTATCTATCTACATATCTATCTATCTGCAGATGTCGACAGTGAGAGGAACAAAACTGGCCTTAGAGCACATGAGAAAAGACAAGGGCGGCCGAGGAGGGCGAATCATCAACATAAGCTCTATCATGGGTAAGGTCTTGCAATTCACGGCCACCGTCCTAAAAAACAGGAGGTATAACCCTTTTTGCTAATGGGGTGCCACCGAGTTTTCTCAGGGTGCCATTCGCTTGCTAAGTTCTGTCAGGATTTGAAATAACAGGTTTTTAAAAGTACTCAGCTCTCTGTTGTGCCGATCCATCGACCTTGGGTTTATTTTAGCAGGTACTCACTGGTGGGTTTACAGAGTAGTTTGTCTTTGAAGTGACCGACTTTTTGTTGAGTGCACTGTTAACTAATATGGAAATCAGACACAATAAGAGCTCTAAAGATAAAAGTACTCCAAGCTCCGTGTTTGTTGGGTTGTCTGTGCGTATGAGTAAACAGAAACCTGTCAACACAATGACGGTATATTTGTGCTTGGAGAAATAAAAAGGAAGTGACTATCCTCCTCAGTGGTGAGAACAGCCTGTGTCAAGCTATTCTCATCCCCTCAAAACAACAACAATAAAAAAAATAAAGAAACCAACGAACTACACTTTGGCTATACGAGAACGAAACGTCGAGCAGAATGGTTTTTTTTCTGATACATACCAGTACTCATAATTATAGCTTAAATAATTTAAGAAGGCCATTTGGTTACCCCCCCCCCCAACAAATTAAGGCTATGGCAACGGTAATCAGTAGTTGGTCAACATGAGGAAACAAGCGCCAGACACACGAGTCATTTCCCAACCACATGCGGCAAGCCACCCTAGGCCCAGGTGATTTTATCTGCCTGCGAGAGGTCAGGGGTGAGTCCTCGCCTCATGCCCACATCTGCCTAGTGATGAGAATATCGGACTATGAGCTATTCTCACCATATAGGTGGCCAAATAAAAAACAGACGCACAGAAACAACAGAGGGAAATAAAAGATGACAGATCTGTCAATGGCGCCCGCCACTCCCAACACCTTCCACGAACCACAACCCGGACTCTGCTTTAGATTTATCTGTTTTAATGCTTTTATTTAAAAAATATTTTTTGTTATGGTTCGGGAGCCGAGACACTGAGTGGACTGGAGATTTGAAGAAACAAACATGACTGAATGAGATCGTAAAGTATGAGTTATAACCCCCTCATTTCACACACGAAAAACGTTTCTGGGTGCTACAAAGAAGAAAAAGTGGGGGAAGAGAAGATAGAGACGGTACACCACACATGCGCAACTGGGCATAGAAATCTACTACTGAAGGGTCTGCACTCCTAGGGAACTGAGTAGAAAAGGTCACTACGTGGAATGAAGGAAATTTTGGATTGGGCTGGTAGATTAGGTAGATGAAATGGGACAGGTAGACTGGAATAGCGAAAGGTCAGTAGAATGGGGCTAGGGAATGAGGCTGGTACAACGCCTTCTGTATTATAGAGACGGCAATAGGTTAAGGGCATATTGGGGTGGAATGTAGGCTTACTAGTGGAATAGGGTCAGTGGAATGTGTCTGGTGGGAATGGGAGCAAAGGGATTTGGAAGATTCACGGAGAGCAAATACATTTCACTCTATAATCTTGTTTGCACGGCCTATCACATTCAATGCTACGTATTCCATTGTTTTGAGACCTCATAAAACTTTGATGTGGTTGCTTGTTTCGATTTTAAGAATTGAGGTAGAAGCCTATAGTTCTAAATTTTGCCTCAACAAAAGCCGCAAACTGGCATCTACAAACACATGTACGTGTTAGGGATTAAAAGATCTAAAACATATTCCAGTATAATTCTTAAAACATTAAGAAGACTATTAGATAAAGTAACATAATATTGAGGTTTATTTCTCAGGTCTCTATGACCACAATTCTCAACCTATCTACGGAGGGACGAAGCAAGCAGTGAGGTCCTTCACTTCTTCCATGGCGGTGAGTAGTTATTGTGTTGCAAGCGCAGTAAAACGCTAACTAAAAGATAAACGGTAGAGACGACAAAGAGTATCAGCATTACAAAATGAAACCAAGCAAGGCATATTCTTTCTAAATCTGTGATCCATATCTACTGGTGCTGAATTAGAAAGCCAAGGCCAATCCTATTCGCTGTTCCGACCCAACACTGCAGACCTGACAACTTGAACAAGTCATCATCAAGTGTCATATCTGTTGCAATCATCGTCGATCAAGGTTCTCCATTCATTGCTTTGCTTGGATACTCTTTAAAAAGCTACATTATCCTGATTTCCATGAGTTTTTGATACGCCTGGTTATCTCAAAGTGTTGGAAGTACTAGATTATTTCTCAGTGAAGTAAAAAGTAAGCTTGTTGATCATTATGTGCGGAACATAGAGGTAGAAGTCTGTTCCGAGTATAATTTATTCTCTCTTACAATTCTGTTTTAAGAAACAGCTGAGTATATCACCAACCTCCCACAGTATTGGAACAGAAGAGTCATAGCTTTGTTAAAAACTCATAGCCTTCCATTAAATAACAATATGTAGCAGTGGAAATTAAGAAATTTGCCCTAATGTGAAATTGGAGATGAATTTCACTTATTTTCTATTATCCATACTTTGTCCATCAAAGGAAATTGTTAATTCTTCCCAGCGTGACTCGGCCTAGTGACAGAAATGTGCAATGTTTGACCCACGATAAGAGATATGTGCACAAACTTTACTTTTTCATTATGGAAACTTTATTTATCAAAGGAGTGTTTTATATGGTGTGATGTGGGCCAATGACATTAAACACTGAATCAACTTACTATTATCCTGATCTTTCCGCGTTACCCATCTGTTGAGGTTCTCCAGGTAGGTAGCTCTGGGTCTTCCACTGCCTTCTTTGCCTTCAATTTTGCCAGTGAGAGCAAGACGTTCCGGACCTTTATGTCTATTCAGGTGTCCCCAAAACGGCATTTGTCTTTTCCTGGTTGTTTTTATCAGTAAGAGTCCTGCGCAGGCCTCTTCAAGTACTACCTCATTTGATTTCTTTTCCTTCCAATATATTATCAGCAGTCTTAAGTGAACAAGTATCACCACGCCTTGTTTGACTCGACAGATGCAGCCAAACCTTGTGAGCTCGACAGGTGTGGAATTGGCCTGCCTGTGTCCGGATGCCACCTGTACTAACCTGATGATCAAGTTAGACAATACAAAACTTTTCAGCCTAAATAACACTGAACACTTCGACTACGACAGTGTCAAAGATCACCTTGTCAACAGAATGATGCAGTGAGTTGGGAAGCGGAGACTTGCCTTTTCCCCCCCTCTCTGTTGGTATCAATTCTTATTTAGCATATTAGATGCTACCGTGTGATATAATAATACATTTTATCTTTGGTGTGCATTGGACCTTTTCCATACGACAAGTATCGAGACTGTTTTTGTGTGTGTTTTTTCTTCCCATTATTTTTTATGATTCAAGAGAAAGAGAGTGAATATTGAGAGAGGAAGAGGTACAGGGGGGTAGGAAGGGAATAAACGAAAGTGAACGAGTAATATTCAAGAGAGACAGGCAGAACGAAGGGGAGAGAGAGAGAGAGGTGGGGGATAGAGAGAAAAAAAAGAGAGAGAGAGACAGAGAAAGAGAGAGAAAGAAAGCGAGAGGGAGAGAGAGGGGGATAGAGAGAAAGAGAGAGATAGAGTAAGAGAGAGAGAGAGAGCGAGGAAGCGAGAGAGAGAGAGAGAGAGAGAGAGAGAGAGAGAGAGAGAGGGAGAGAGAGAGAGAGAGAGAGAGAGAGAGAGAGAGAGAGAGAGAAAGAGATAGAGGGGTAGAGAGAAAGAGAGAGAGAATGTGTGTATGTGTGTATGTGTGTATGTGTGTGTGTGTGTGTGTGTGTGTGTGTGTGTGTGTGTTTATGCCTGTGTAGGCAAATTACCACCCAAACGCATTCGGTGCCCTTGGCAAACCAACAGATCTCCATGTCTACAGAGAATATAAATAAAATTAAATCAAGGGTTGTATTCTAGTTTCATTTGTCATCTGCAAGTGATGACATATCATAATATTGCCATCTATGATGATTTAGGTGTCGCAAAGAACGCTGCAGAACATGTTCTGTTTCGTTTCTGAAAGGGGAGTTCCTTAAGAATAAACTTTGTACCACTAACAGATACACCACTATTATAGATAGCACCGAACGTGCTTTTCTCCTTATTTTTCCCCTCTGTAAAAAGAAAATAATTCGTGTCACAGAAAGAGGGGCGATACGATACGAGTTATATGATTCTTTGGTAATATAGACCCACTAACTATATTGTATTTTTGCTCATACAGAATCCCCACGGTAGTAAACGCCTTCCTGAAGCTTCTTCAGCTGCAAGAAATGAACGGCGCGATTCTGCTGACCACTAAAACCTCAACCACTTTCCAGAGGATGTCGTGTGATGACCAGGGAGAGGAGTTCCCTCCTCCCACGACGGAGTGACGATACCACCAAGCTTCTTAGTAACATCTTTTCATAATATCACGTTACTGCATAATTCTGATTAAAATTGGCTGTGTGTTGGAATGCATATTGCTAAGAATTTTCTAGGATAGACGGACTTTGGGTATAATTTCATATAATATACCCCAAAAAAACCCTGAGTATTTTCCTGAGTTGTTTTCATTTTTCTCTATTCACAATGTGTTCTTGTTATTGCATTGGCTCAATTAAAAAAGCCACAACACGCTTATTGGTTGCTTATGCATTAAACAAGACAAAAATGATATGCTGTTAAAACGTGAATTGAATCATGCTTTTTTGCACACATGTTAAGTTGGTCTGGCCTATAAATTCTCTGCCCTAAAATGTTTGATTGAATGTTGCATAGTCTGACTATCTAGATGCCAAGATTATCTGCGGAAAATCGAGAAAGAGCTGTTGGACGTGTGCAAGCTGGTGAGAGCCCTTATCAGGTGGCAACAGTCCTGGGAGTGCATGCCAGCACTATCTACCGCCTGCAAAACAAATTCCAGGCAACCAATTCCACGAGAGATCTCCAAAGAAACAGAAGACCTCGACTGACAACAGCTTCCCAAGACCGCTTCGTTGTGCGTCAGCATCGCCGAGATCTACGGTTGTCTGCCTCTGAGACAGCTCAGAACACCATAGGAGCACACGGTAGAGCCTTGAGTGACCGCACCATACGCGGCCGACTTGTTGCCAGGTGGCTGCATTGTCGGCGTCCGGAGCAGAGAGCACCCCTGAACGTCCATCATCGACAAGCAAGTCTCCAGTGGGTTCAGAACCATGTTAACTGGCGTCATCGACAGTGGCAGCGTGGGATCGACAGCGATGAGAGTCGCTTCTTCATCGACCTTGACAATAGACGGGCCCGAATTTGTCGCCACCCCGGACAACGCAACTCTGACGATAACTTCTGGGAGAGAAACCCGTGGGGAGGTCAAAGCGTGATGGTATGGGGCGCAGTCGGTATCAATCAAAGACTGGGCCCCATAATCTTCCAAAATTTAGGACCTAGACGTGGCAACGGAGTGACAGCCCCATGTTGCTCCATTTTTCAAGAGACATCAAAACCACTTCTTTCAGTAGGATAACGCACGGCCTCATACAGCACGTGATACCAAGCAGTTTCTGGTGCAGAACAACATACCCACTATGCCTCACCCACCCCGATCACTTGATGTTCAGAGGTGTCTCAACCAACGCCAGCCCAGATCCCTGACAGCTGCACAACTGGGTGCTGCTATTCTTCAGGAGTGGGAGCAAGTCCCCAACTGCCAAATCAATTGTTTGGTCCGCTCTAAGCACCGCCGATGTACTGCTTTCATCAACACTAATGGGGGCCATACCAGATACTGACTGGGACTTAAGAACCAAGGTCATGGTCATTAATGCCGAATAACAAAAACTGTCCCCAAGCAATTCCCCAACTCTCAAGCATTGTTTTGTGGAATTTGAGACACCTCAAACCTGTTTCTCTAAATAAAAATATTGCTTCTATTTACTCTCCTCTTCTTGTGTCATGTGAATTCGCATTACTGTTGCCGATAAATATATATGGAATTATACCCAAAGTATATATATATGTATA